ATTTATTTGTTTTAGTTGTGGGCTACTCTTGGTAACTATTAGAAGGAGCATAGTCCGCATTACAATCCATAGGTTGTCACTAGATAGCGGTCTCCTTCTAGAGGGCTAATATATATATATATATATAAGCCAGACTCTACCTTGCTATATACTTCAGTAGACATATAACCTGTTTTTCAAAATAAAGTAAAAGTAATTACTACCTAAAAATACAAAACCAAATCCTAAAAATAATATTAAATATATAAATAATTGATACAGCCCATACACCTGGCAGCAGATAATAAAAGAATATTCTAAACTTGATCATATCTGGACTGGAGCAAATAAATCTTTTAAGTCCTCAAAAAATCCAGCAAAGAGGAACCCCTGAATAGTTTCTGAAAGGGATGTCATTCCAAAGGTATAATGCCATCACAGTACACTTATTCCAGGTTCAGTGATTCATTAAAGGGTACACATTGTAAACCTTTTGTTTCCTCATTTATACCCTTCATTCTTGACTGTTTCCTCTTTTATTATAGACTTTTAAAAGCTTTAGTAAATGTTTTCTGCCACACCCATGCATTTGCTTGCTTAGTTTCTTCTGTTAATTTCTTGTAGCAGATGTTAAACATGGCTGCCTCCAACTCGCATCTCAAAGTTTCGGTCTTTGTCCTGTCCTTTTGGCGCACTACTTCAACACAATTGGCCTGTATATACTGAGTGCATGTGCACAGTTGTGAATATTCATTATTGCCATAGGAGAATGTGTTATGGAGGAAAGAACAGTTACATATAACAAATGTATAGGAACTTGTATTAGACATTCAGAGAAATAATTGAAATGTAACAAAAATACTTCATTCCTAGGCATGTATATTCCTAATTATAAGAGCCATTGAGAGTTGGGTGGCATACAAGTTTAATAAATTATTATGGTTGGCCGCACAGTCAGCCAGATGTTTAGACTGGATTTGGCATTTTATCCTCCTATTGAGTCCTTCCCAAGGACCTGGGATAGGCAGATCTTGTTTGATGGTGTTAAATGTATTGTCGCAGGATGGAAGCTGTTCCAAGTAAAGCTGCCTTTTGCAATTGACTGATGGCCATTTTGTCAATGCTGATGGTCTTCAAGGGGTGCTCCAGATGTTTTGGCATTGCACCCAAAGCGCCTGTTACTGTGGGCACTATCTTTGCTTCCTTTTGCCACAGTCGTTCTACTTCTATTTGCAGGTCTTTGTATTTTG